CATACATTATAGCCATGTAATTATGTTTCACAGGGTCCTATCTTTGTGTTAAAAGACACATAATTCGATATCTGGACACAAGCACCGGGCGTTTCCTGGACTTTATTGGATCAAGCCTGGTTTTGGTCAGTTGAATCTGTTTGGCAGTACCAGAGTAATCGAGTTAGAGGATGTTCCCTTTCATCTGTTCACTATCCAGAACCGTAGTTATAATGGGGGGAACATGATTCAGATTGAAGATTTAAATCAGAATTTGTGTTAACTGGAAGGACTGTCCATTAATTTCATTCTACATTACAGAATTGCACTAATCAACTCAACGCCATTAGTTAGGCTATAAAATGGCAGAATCCTCAAAAAGAACATGACATTTATTTATTTTACGGTTATGGATGCAGACAATATTTCTTCTTTGAATAGCTTTTTGCATACAAGTCAAACTTGAAATTGCATTGCAAGAAATTTTAAGTGAAGTTGTTCAAATGTTTATTGCTTTTGTTGAATGTTCATTTCTCTCTCCTTGATAAAATGTCTACTTCTATGTGTATACATCAAATTACAAAATTTATTATCACTAGACTAATTACTTCTGTTCATCAATATCAAACTGGATCTAGAAGTGGAAAAGCTAAAATCCATGTATACCCTGAGCTAAAAGAATGCCAAGCTGACGTATAATTTAGTAATGGATCTGGCAATGTCAAAATCTTTATTGACCATGACAAAATTGTTGTCTGCCAACTGTGATATATTTACGGAAGGAACACAACGACAAGTCCTAATGAAATTGTGTAGAATGTATTCTTTAACAAGCCCCAGCTAATGATCAGGGCAGTTATGCAGTTCTGCTAGGCTCCTCATTTTACATGGTCCATTTGGTAACACTCAAGTAATCCAGAAAATGACAAGAGCTTTAATTCTGTCAAATTCTATTGCCTCCTCAGGATGATTTGTAAGTAACAGATGCATAGGAGCCTGTGTGGCCATTATATAAAAAAACTCTGCACTCTTCATGCCAAGAGGACACTAACCCTTTCTATGTATGTTGGCTTATTATGTCCTTTAACTCAAGTGAAAGTTTAGTATGTATAAATTGTGTTGTCATTTTGGTAGTCATCAAATGCATACCGGTAATAAAATATGTGTCATATGTAAATAATTTTTCCTGTTCTTTTCAATATGGTATAAAAATAACATCAACTTCTGAGAAAAGGTTAATTTTAAAAAACAAAATATCACAATTATTTAAAGGTCCCTTGAGCCACATTTTATGACTTTATTAACCTTTGGCCTTCGTTAAGTTTAAATACTATCATTGCAAATCACCAAAAGCTGTAGAAAGTATGCACCAGTACCACATGCATGTATACATCAATGGACTTCCATTATTTATTTTTTATTCAAGTAAAGAAAGGAAGGATGAGATGCCTACTCGTGCAAAACCAGAAATCTGCATGAGGACAAAGCAGCAAATCAAAACATTGCCAGGAAACGCAACATGTGTGAGTCCAGTGAAGTTGAACTGTAAATCTTCATTTTTTTTATCACTCCAATCGACCCTTTATATTTCCTGATTTATGAGCCATGAATAGAAATTCCCTCCTCTCGTAAAAAAAAATAAATATTAATTGAAACCCAACAACATTACAGACCTGAATCTAACCTGTCCTCCTGTGCTATAAAGCACTGAACTTTGATGTACCGCAATCAGTTATTTCAACTTGGAGAGATAAGAATAACTGATGAATAATTAATATGATTTAATGAAATTTCACTGGAGGAGATCCATTTACATTAGAAAAACAAAATAAACATACTGCCTAAGGTAGAAATCATCAAATTTTTTTTTTTATTCCCCTTAGAAATATTTGAAATCAATAGAACACCTAGTCAGTTAAAACCATGCCTTTTCCGATTTATATGCTGGAAAGTCCAATTTCCAATCCTGGTTTATGATCTGTAGAATTACTTCAAGAAACATCATTTCCTTTAGAAGTATCACAAATACTGAAATATTTTGTAATAATATGACAGTTAAAACTATCAAGGAAACCCACAAGGAACTAAAGAGGCACATATACAGCTGACCTTGGGTTTCTCAAACACTAATAACTATGGATATGTCAAAGTGATTTAGAAGTAACAACAATTTATTAAAGCATTTAACTCTTGACATCTTGAATCCTCGGATATCTGGCATATTCCTCTATCCAAGCTCAAGATAATCAGATTTGACTGTAAAATCAATTGTGTGAAATGGTCATATTGCAGTTTTTAACTAGGTTAAATAAATCATAGATAAGTAAAAAAATATATATATAGTGCAGTTGTATCTTACTTTTTCTTATAAATACATAGTAAAAAATGTACACTATTCAATCTAGGGCCTTATAGTGTGCTTCATATTAATATCCATGATTTGAGTCTGTTCTTCTGTCTGTTTTTCTCTGTAATACTTTCATTTCCATTTCCATGTAATGTCTTGAGAAACTTTTGAGTTTTTGCAATGAAATTTTACATATCAACTCCCTGTGGCCTGAAGAAGACCCCTGTTGATTTTAAGGGCAAAGGTTAAAGATATAAATTCATAACTTCTGTCTGTTTCAACATTTTATTTCTGCACAATATCTCAAGAAGCCTTTCAGCTTTTGCAGTGAAATATAATTACACAATTTCTTACTAGGAAGACCCCTATTTATTTGAAGGTTAAAAGGTCAAAGGTCATATCCTAAATTCATAATTCTCACTGTGTGTAAAAATTTTCATTTCCTGGTGATTACAAGCTTTTGAGCTCAAATTTTGCAATGAAAGTTAACATAACAACTCCCTATGCCCTGAAGAAGACCCCTACTGATTTTGAGGTCAAAAGGTGAAGGTCTTAAATTCATATATTTTCATTTCATTTCAAGGCGATTTCTAAAGAAACTTTGAACACAGCTTTTGCAATGAAATTTTACACAGGTCAAAGGTCAAGATCACATTTCATATATTCCGTTTTCAACACTTTCCTTCCCACACAATATCTTGAGCAGCCTTTGAGATTTTGCGATGAAATTTTATACCAAACTCCCTATGGTCAAGGAAGCTAGGTCTCTATTTATTTTAAGGGCAAAGAACAGGTCATTATTATACATTCAGTGTGTAAAACTTTCATTTCCTGGTTATTTCAAGCAGCTTTTGCACTGAAATTTTATTCCATACCATAACTCCCCATGCCTCCTCTATTAAACCTTTCTTTGAAAGTGTCCCTCCTTTGACCGTACCTCTAGACCAGTGCATGCTGTTCTTTTTTTTCTTTAAGCTGGGGGGGGATTCTCTGAATTAGCTTGCTTTAGCTTGCATGAAGAATACACTGAATTTTTTAGTCACTGAGAAATAGATATTTTTTTTACCTTGACTTTTGACTGAAAGAGCCAAAAAGGTCAAGATGGAACCAGAAGTCTGTCGGGACCTGAAGCTCTACTGGTTTGTACTTATAGCAAAGGAAGAGAAAAGTACTTCAGCAGTTGGGAATTGAAACTTAACAACAGCAATAGATAGAATAATGATCCTTGATAAAGTCTCTTTATGTTCTTAGTGTAGTCTACAAGTTTGCGAAGTTATATTGAAATCAGACCAAAACTGTAGGAGGAGTAGCATTTTAAAAGAATTTCACAGAAATTTCTATTTTTAGTTACCACGGCAAAACCGTTTATTGAAATCAAAAGCTGATAAACAGAATTATGTATCTTAGTGTAGTCTACTTGTGTGCCAAGTTATATTGAAATCAGACCAAAACTGTAGGAGGAGTAGCATTTTCAAAGAATTTCACAGAAATTTCTATTTTTAGTAACCACAGCAACAACGTTCATCGAAATCAAAAACCGATACACAGAATTTTATCTTAGTGTAAGTCTGCTAGTGTGCAAAGTTATATTGAAATCAGACCAAAACTGTAGGAGGAGTAGCATTTTAAAGGAATTTCACAGAAATTTCTATTTTTAGTAACCACCACAACAACGTTCATCAAATGAAAAACTGATAAACAGAATTATGTATCTTAGTGTAGTCTTCTTGTGTGCCAAGTTATATTGAAATCAGACCAAAACTGTAGGAGGAGTAGCATTTTGAAAGAATTTCACAGAAATTTCTATTTTTAGTAACCACGGCAACACCGTTTATCGAAATCAAAAACCGATAGAGAGAATTATGTATCTTAGTGTAGTCTACTTGTGTGCCAAGTTAAATTGAAATCAGACCAAAACTGTAGGAGGAGTAGCATTTTAAAGGAATTTCACAGAAATTTCTATTTTTAGTTACCACGGCAACACCATTTATCAAAATCAAAAACCAATACACAGAATTATGTATCTTAGTGTAGTCTACTTGTGTGCCAAGTTATATTGAAATCAGACCAAAACTGTAGGAGGAGTAGCATTTTGAAAGAATTTCACAGAAATTTCTATTTTTAGTAACCACGGCAACAACGTTCATCGAAATCAAAAACCGATACACAGAATTATGTATCTTACTGTAGTCTACTTGTGTGCCAAGTTATATTGAAATCAGACTAAAACTGTAGGAGGAGTAGCATTTTGAAAGAATTTCACAGAAATTTCTATTTTTAGTTACCACGGCACCACCGTTCAGCGAAATCAAAAACCGATATACAGAATTATGTATCTTAGTGTAGTCTACTTGTGTGCCAAGTTATATTGAAATCAGATCAAAACTGTAAAAGGAGTAGCATTTTGAAAAATTGTTTACAGACAAACAGACAGCTAGACAGACAGACGGACAGACGGACGGACGCCGGACGCATTACTATCGCATAAGCTCTTCTGGTCTCTGACCAGTAGAGCTAAAAACACACCAAAAGATGGACAGACAGCTCATGCAGATTACATAGGGCTCCTATATTTCATGCAGGCACCTTAAATGATATTCAAGATACTGAATTATTATAATACAAAAATAAATAAATCTGCATTGCAGTTCACTTCAATGAGTCTGATCCTTACCTTGACCTTTGATCAATGACCCAACAATCTATAGATGGCCTTGTCCAACTATCCAAATAAAGTGCAGTTGGTCTGAAATTTAAAAGAAGAAGTATGTAATTTTTTTCCCATATAAACACAAGGCCCATTGGCCACAATACTTACCTGAGTTATTTTGTTCTTCGTCAAGGCAACATACATTTTTCCCTTTAAATACCTATGTAACACTTTGATCAACCACTGCAGCTCCATCTTATCCCCCATGGGCATGTTTTGAAAAAAAAATATTATCTTACAATGGGCATTTTTTTGTGACCCCCTTTATAAAGTCTTCTCCTTACCATCAATCCCTTATTAATAAGTGAAAATGAAGTCAGATTTAAAATGTTATTACATCATATAAAACTGTTAAGAACAGATGGATACACCTATTACAGCACATAAAAGAGACCCCACATCTAGCTGCCTTGTCCTAATTACCTCCAAAATATAACTTCTGAAGATCAAAAGCTACTTATTTTTAATACAGTTTACATCTTAAGGGTTAATTTACTACTCATTATCATGTTTACTAGGAAGAATATTATTTTAAATTGCAATAAGGCCTTGCATGCTTTTGGTGCTATGTTTCTATATATAGTTCTTTCTTTTCTGGGGTCCTTGACCTCTCCTAACCCTAGCATCTCTCCATCTCCCATTGTTAATTCCTGGCATTAATACTCCCCCTAGAGCAAAGTGACTTATTTAACATAGGTAATCAGAGATTACAGAGCTCACCTCAACGAATGTTGTCTTTAAATAAGGCAAAGTCACACAATTAACCAACAAAAAATGTACATTCCAAAAATGAAAATATCTAAGCAATTTTGATCTGATACTTTGAAGTAGACCAACATAAAAAATTTAAAGTAGTTCTTCTTCATGAAAATGTAATTCAGCATCTAAAGCAAATTTGAGTTTTCATCTCTTGATGCAACATTTGTGCAAGTTTGGTTTATACAATGTTATAAAAGCCTTAAAGCTTTTTGGTAATAGACCTGCAACCATAACTTTAACCTGGTCTATTATCTGAAAAATATATATGTCGAATTCAGCATCCGAAGCAAGTCCATTTATATTTAGTGTGCATCCTAAGATGTATCGTCCATGCAAGTTTGCACATTATAAGGGTCATAGTTAATTGGAAATGAAACATACATCAAAAACTAACATTTTCACTCATCCACAAAATGTAGGTCAGATTCAGCATCCGAAGCAAGCCTGGTAGTATGCATCCAAAGATGTATCATCCATGCAAGATTGGTCATTAAAGAACTCATAGTTACTTGGAAATGAAACCTGCACCAAAAACTTTTACTTGTTCACTCAACCGGAAAATGTAGGTCAGATTCAGCATCCGAAGCAAGCCCGGTAGTGTGCATCCTTAGATTTATCATCCATGCAAGTTTGGTCAACATAGGGCTTAAAGTTACTTGCAAATGAAACCTGCTCCAAACACTTTAACCTGTTCACTCAACTGGAAAATGTAGGTTAGATTCAGCATCTGAAGCAAGCCCAGTAGTATCCATCCTTAGATGTATCATCCATGCAAGTTTGGTCAACATAGGGCTTATAGTTACTTGGAAATGAAACCTGCACCAAAAACTTTAACCTGTTCACTCAACCGGAAAATGTAGGTCAGATTCAGCATCCGAAGCAAGCCTGGTAGTATCCATCCTTAGATGTATCATCCATGCAAGTTTGGTCAATATAGGACTTACAGATACTTGGAAATGAAACCTGCACCAAAAAACTTTAACCTGTTCACTCAACCTGAAAAAGTAGGTCAGATTCAGCATCCGAAGCAAGCCCGGTAGTATGCATCCTTAGATGTATCATCCATGCAAGTTTGGTTAACATAGGGCTTATAGTTACTTGGAAATGAAACCTACACCAAAAACTGCACCAAAAATGTTAACCTGCTCCAAAAACATTAACCTGGTCATTCCTTTGCTAAAATTGCAGCATCTGAAACTTTGACTGGTACAATGAAACACACTAGAACCATCTTCCATGCATGTCTAATCAATATAGGACATAGAAGTACTTAAAAAGAAAACTGCTACAAAAAACTTAACCTTAACCTGGGACGCCGACGCCGACATCGACGCCGAGGGTATTACATAAGCTCCCCCAACTTCGTTGAGGTGAGCTAAAAATGGAGGCCTATATATCACAAACCAATAATAATGCATCATGTACAGAATACATTTGTTCTCCTTTATGTTCTTCATATGCAAGAACTCATTTTTCTATTTTTTTTTAATTTTATCATTATTACCTTTTCCCATCCATTATGGCTTATTTTAACCAAAATTTATGAATAATTTCCACTTTATTGTTTCAGTTTTCCCCAGAGAATATTATCTTTGATGAGGATCAAACCCCTATATAGTGATACTTCAGCAGACAGCTCTAATTAGTATTCATCACTTGATGCATAATTAATACCTACTTCTAAAAGCTGTATAATTAACATCTCTGTGCATCTTCATTAGTCACTACATGTGTTCTGATGAGCTATAGAAAACTTTCTTGCATTCACCAAAATTAATTTTTAAAATTTTTTGTACTAATTGCATCACATGAAACTCATGTGACTTTTTCATTTCATAAATTCTTTAAACTGATTAATTTTTGGATTGCCTAGAAAAATTTAGAATCTATAGAATTTTATTCACATTCACTTAAGACTGTAAGATATATAAAACACAATGCCCTTCATTTCAGAGGAAGGATTTCAATTTAAAAGGCAGGGGGAAAAAATGTGGATTAATTTTCATGTGCACTCAGTACTGGGGAATGGTGTGTACTTTAGTATACTCTGCTAAAATCGGCACACTTTCTGATAATAAATGCAAACATTCCACTCAAAAAGCCAAATAAACAATGCAAGATTTGCATCTCTTAACAGTTACGATAGCAGATGGTTAGTCTTTCAAAGTAAACACAGGGCCACGTTCCCACCTTTCTGTTTGGAGAGGGACACTCTTTAATGAGCCCTCTCACCAAAGCTAGAGGATTATTAGATGAGCTTGCTGACTTATGTTCATCAAAAGAAAATTGATGAGCTTGTCTTTGCAATGTGTGATAATGCAGGGTCATTTGATCCAACTGATAAGGCTTCATGGACCACCAGCTAAGAAACCATGCTGCTTCAATATTGTCCATGCAGAATGACCAAAGGGCAGGGGATCAGTGTAAAAACAGGGAGGAAAAACAAGATGAAGATAATTTCAGCCAGAAAACCACACAACGAAGTGGTCACAGAGAAATTGCTTTTAGAGTAAACAAGGCAAATTTTTGAGTAAACACCATAGGAAGTTTATAGCTTTACATAGGGACCAATCACTTCTGCTGCGTTCCCTCATTACTGCTATCCATCACCTATTGTCAGACAATAATTGTTTAACCTCTTCTCAGTTTCAAGGAGAATACAATCTCCACATCCCCTTAGTTTATGCAATGGGTTTTTTTTTTGCCTTTCTTCTGGATACTAAAGTCATTTCAAGTTCACAAACTAAAATTAGCATCATCCTGTTTTAAACTGCTCTTAAAACAGCTGCAGAACAGTCAATGCAAACAAGGGTCTCATTTAATGTGAAATCCTGCAAGTGTTTTTTATCTTGCAACTCAAATGTGCTGGCCATGATTTTTTTTTATTTGAAGCACTCCAGCAACAAAATGTTGACTTTATATTTAAAAAGCAAAACCCCAAAATCATGCTTCTATTTTTTTTAAGTACTAGCTTCTGCAACTGAAGCATAATGTCCTACCATTTATCATGATTATAGACTAACAATATAAAACCATGTGTTTCTCAGATATGTGCCTAAACATGACATCCCCACCCTCTCCATCACACCAAAGGTACAGAACTATCTGATATTGCAGAAACTGTGAACTGTGTGGTAGCAAAATCTTCAACAAGACAGAAGTGTATTAATAAATGGAAAAGTTAAGTACAGATACACAGCATAATTAGTGCTATACTGAGCAGCCAATATTCACTGGCAAAGGAAAAATCAATAGGGTCGACATTGTACTGGGTCAAATTGACATAGCAACACCTTTAGAGAGAGAGTGAGAGAGAGAGAGAGAGAGAGAGAGAGAGAGAGAGAGAGAGATGTGTTGATTAAAAATAATTTTGCTCTGAGGAACCTTTTTTAACAAACAAAATTTAACGGCTATGAAAGTGATTATCAATGCATCATATATTGAGCCAAGAGTCCAAGACTAAATGTCATTCTGCATTATGAATATAGATACAGTGCATTGGTCACTTATATGTAAAAGGATCCCCCCCTTTTTTTTTAAAAAACGTGTTTCATTATGTAGATCAAATTTGCATCAATCTTATTTTTTGATCTGGGAAATTTTGTTTGCCTTTTTTTTTTTGCTTTTGTAAGTGTGCCAAGTTAACACCTTGAAAAATGACACCAAAATGTTGTAATCTAGCCATTATCTACGGTATATCGAAACAGTATCTCATTCTGTTTACCCTAAACCAGTTCTCTATAAAAGACACCAACAACAAACTGCTCATTGTGGCCCAAAAAAATTAAATAGCAATAAACTCAGAATTGGCAGGGTAATGGAGTGAAATAATTGCACCATTTAAATGTGTCCTAACTAGTATTGTGATTTGCATAATAAGTATATATTGATCCTGGAACTTTTGTTTTTCACCTTTCAGCTGCTGTCTTGTTTACTGTTACCATCTGTGTTAGAATTCAGAGCTATCTAATAATATCTTTAGCTTCCATTGATTGGGGTCTCTTGCAGAAACTAGGTCACCGTAACAGATAGATTTTTTCCCCATTGATCCATTTCCCCATTTATTGCTTGTTAACAGAATCAACCTCAGAAGCCGAACACTGATAAACAACGCAAAATTAATGATAAGATAGAAAGGAAGGCATGCAAGCATAAAAAAAAAAGTTCTGTAAATCACACATAATGGGATTCAGTTTCTATAAAAATTTTCGATTTAATTGCACACCTTGTTGGCACAAGTGAAGCTGGCCTCTTTCAGATGGGCATTTCGCAAACTG